GGAGGGCTTCGCTTTGCCTTCGCGTTGCTTTGTATTTATTTTAGCGTTCGTGCTCGTCACCATGGCAGCCGTGGCAATCCGGGAGCAGGGTGGGCAAACCCCGGGGGGATCGAGTAACGCCGCGGGTAAAGTATTCGCGAGCTGTCTCCGCCGCCTCGGCCGGGCTCCGCTCCTCCGGCTGGGAGCGGCTGCCCTTGGCCGAGGGAAGGGGGGGTGACACAGCTGGGAGGCTCGGGGCTCGCGGTCGAGAGGCGCGTACGTACATGTATATACACGATCAGAGGTTTTTCCCGTGGGGACCAGAAAAGAGCCGTGACCTCTCACAAGCCCCTGGGCTCCGGGCGTCGGGCCGGGGGATGCGAGCGGCGGCGCTCGCTGGAGGGGACTCCCTGTGCGGCTGGGACCGGCCTCTGCCTCGGCTGCCAAATGGGGGACCTGGGCGCAGCTCAAGGAGTTTTTGTCTGTTTTAAGCCAGAGGCAGCAGTCTGCGGGTCGGGCTCAGGCTAGGGTTTGGGCAGGGTGCGAGACGGGGGGAGCCTTCGGGGCTGCTTCCTAACCCCAGGGGTGGTAGCGGTGCCCTGATATGCTACTGCAAATTTGCTTTGAAAGCCCCCACGCTCTGCCCAACCTGGGTAGCTGTGGGCTCAGTAGGGTGACAAAATCGAGCTCCTGACTCAAGGATGTGCTCTGTCCATGGAAGAGGTTTGTTCTCCTTCAGCCTGTGTAATAGCATCAATAAAGCTCTCCCAACTCCCGGCAATAGCTTCATAAAAAATAAACAAGCCCCTGGAGCAAAAGTGGCCCGTCAGTACCATTCCCGGGAGCGATCGCTGAAGCAGTTCAGGAACTGCACGGTGTGTCACTCTTTGGCTGCAAATCCATTTATCAGCCGGTTACGCACACATGGAAGTGAATAAAAGCAGCAGCCTGGTCCGAGTTGGAGCAGGGGCCGGGTGTTGGGGCTCTCTGCTTCCCTCCTTGATTGGCACTGGGATTTTTGGCCTGTGCCTCTCTTTTCTCCACCTGTAAAGGGGGAGTGGCAGGTGGGGGTGTTTGGGAAGCCGCATGAATGTTTGGAAAATGCAGTCAGAGCAGCCCCAGCCCTCGGGCAGCAGGGTGGAAATCCTTCAGCTGAGACCCCGGGCCATCACTTGCAGCTGCCGAAACTCAAAAGTCAAAACCGAGGCTCTCGGGCAGAGCGAGGATGTTATTTGCTGCTCCTTAGGGCTGGGGGCTGCCAGCAGTTCAAGTTGCTCTGCTGCGAGACCCTCTATGGAGCAGGACAGTGGAAATGAATACGATGCCTCCAGTGCGAGTGCTGTTGTTGCTGTAGCCCTTTGGGCGTGCTGGGAAACGCTCTCAGGCTGGCCAGGGCCGAGTTGAACAAACCGAGGATTTGGAGCGCTGCTGCCTGTTGGATTCCACCTTAGCGGTGGGGGAAGCTGCCCCCGAGTCCCTGATTTCTTGCGCGTGCTTGAACATGCTGCTCTGGCGGTTTTATTTCTCTGTTCCCCTGCTTATCCCTTCCATTTTTTTATTGCATTTACTTTACTCCCTCTCAGAGGGCTTGTGAGGTTACGTGAATCCGTATCGTCTGCCAAGCACCTTAAAATCCTCGGGAGGAGGATGCTGTGGCAGTGCTGCACGTTGTTATATTGCTGCCGTTTGGGGGGAGGCGGTATGCACTCATGGCTAACCACAAAGCCTCTCGTTACGAGCTATAGTGCTGTGCCACAGCCGCTCCAAATCTGGTCCTGCTCGCAGAACGACGTAAAGCATCCGAGTTCTGCTCCATGCCTGTAATCCCTTAGTGGGGAAAAATAATCATCCTTTGTCTCTCCTGTCCCTCTGTAACTGGGATCCCAGGATGTGCCAGCCCCCCCGCCGGGTAAGTCCCGGTCCCCCTGGCAGGCAGCGGCTGGGACGAAGGAGGACCCTCTCCTGATGCACCTGCCAGCGGGGCATGGTGGAAATACCACATCCTGACCTGCCACAATCTCTTTGCACAGAGAAGGGAAACAGGAGGGGTTTGTGGTGTTTGGGTTTCCCCTCGTGCATGCGGAGCGGTTTCCCAAGGGTTCGGTGGGTTGCCGTCAGAGGCAAGCTGGTAAAATGCAATACGTGCGCTGCTGTAACTACGCGGTGGCATGGCTATCAGAGACCCTAACGGGCTTCGCTGCGATGGGAGGCGAATAACGAGCTGTCCCGGTCACAGCCCCTGCCTGTGCTGCGGGGGCAGAAGCAGGGAAGCAGCCGCAGGTGGGCGCAGGGTGGGAAGGTCAGCAGGGGTCTGGGGACAGCACCCCCCACCCGGCAGCGGGTGGGCAACTAGCCGGGGTCCGAGCCGTTGGTCTCGTGGGCCGAGTTGAGCGTGTGAGCCCGCGGGGCTGGTTACGCGGGGGCTGTAGCCGTGCAAGCGGCCCTCGGCACGCAACCTTCTCTGGCTCCTGGCTGTGCGGCGGGTGGGCTGCGGCACTGCCCACCGCCCTCTCCCAGCCAGCGCGGAAAATGTGCCATTTCAGCCGCCCCACTGGAGAAATGACGAATCTGGAGAAGCGGCTGTCCTTTTGCTATGCAGAGCCCTCAACCCTGAGTTTGTTCCCTGCAAAGTTAGATTACTTGACTTGATGTATAATGGCAGTCTTGTGTAAGAGGAGGCGTGCCTACGCTCCGCCTGCTTCTCATCTCCCTTGGCCTTCTGCAGAGCCACTGAGACAAGCTACCCATTTTGATCCAGCTTTTGGTTTCCTCTGCTCTGCACGAGTGATGGTGTTGCAGTTCAGGTTTGGGCTCATCTGCAAATAAGGGTGACTCATGTGACTTACGGGTCTCTGGAAAATATTTTTTCAATGTTCTAAAATTGGCTGCTTTTCTGTCTGGGAAAAAGAAAAAAACCTTGTCTTTCGCGTGAGCGAGTCCAAGAGTTCTGCTCTTGCGTCTATGCTGTGACGTTTCAAATCCTAGGCAAATGAAGGTGATTTGCAAGGGTTTTAAAAATTGGAGTGCTTTCTGGGCTTGTGTTTTTTTTCTTTATTCTCTCTCAAGGCGAAGGAAAAAAAATCACCTCGGTAAAAACTATAGTCAATTGCAAGTCTCGGCTTGAAACTGGTTTGTTATTTGTTGACCTCATGTTTATTAGCATAACTTTAAACCTAAAACCTGAATGTCTGATTCCTGGAGTCAGCAAGGGAAATCTTTGAATATTAAAGTTGGGGCAGGAGGCTCTCGGAGATCAGTGTCCACAAAATAGCTCGTGCATTTATAGTGATCCTCCAGATCCCTGCTTTATATCCAGAAATCTTGACATGTGGGGTCTCTGCAATAGCCTATCCCCAAACAGGTCCTACAGATGCTTGAAATAAAAATGCAGAAATTGGTAAAGGTCAGGGCTGACTCGGCAGCATGCCGAGCCCCTGCACACTTCCCCTTCCACCCGCCACAGACGGTGGAAACGCGGTGAGTACCACGGTCCTAGGAATGCATTTTTTTCTGTGGAGCACAGCAGTTTCGTATCAATTAGGAGGAGCCCTGGCACCTCTTGCAGTTGGTTTGTGTTGGGTGTTTCTGGAAGATGTACTTCTTCCCAGGGCTCTTTTCTGTCACTCCCAGGCAGAAGGTTGCCTCCTGCTCCTTGGAAATTTCCCAGAGGCAGAAGCTGTGCTGTGTGTCTTTTGGAAGGACTTTGGCATCTTTTCCACACTACGTATGGGCGGTTAATCATCACCACGTGCTGCTTGTCTGCTTTAGCAGGGTGCTGATGGGCACAGCCCAGGACTCTCTTCTCGTGCCTCTAAAATTGTAACGTGGGAAGCTCGCCCAGCATACCTGTGTCCCAGTGAAGAGAGCAAGGCCATCGCTGTCGTGTGGGCAAGGCTTGTTAGTCAGAAGGGTGGCTGGTAGGTAGCTCTGAAGGAGGAATTTTGCTGTTGGCTGACTGTGAGCTGAGGATGGGAGTATTTGTTCCCATTTCCCAGTCAAAACCTGGATGTGAGGCTGCCCGCGGGCTTCTCCAGCTTGCTGACCTCTCTGGGGCGGTGGGAAAGCAGCAACGCACCTGGAAGATGGAGACAGAAGAGTAGCGTTAGTTAAACGCTCTGAATCGTGTTAGGCTAGTGCCCAAGTGCTCTTTGGAGCAGGTATGTGTCTCTTCTCTTTGTCCTGCCAACTTTGTGACCTGTGTAGCTCCTCTGTGACCCCACTGGAGCCTGTTTGGCAGCTGAGAGACCCCACGCTGTAATACTGGCTCAGGTTGCCGGGGCTCAGCTCTCCTGGCTGCTCCCTACCTCTGTGCTCAGCCATGTAAAATGAGCACCAGGGAGATGAGATCAAGGCGTCCTTTTCCCTTGTAGCAAAGGGTTTCTAAACGCTCTGCAAGCATCGCTGACCTGAGCGTCACCTGCCTGTGGGACGACAGCGAGCGGGAGACTTCTCTGGGACACGCTGCTGAGAACAGGAGGTGTCTGTAGGCATCGACCAAGTTGGTGAGGAGAGATGTCAATCGTTTGGTTGCCCCCTCTTGTTTAGCCAGAAAATAGGCAGTGGATGGGGTTTACCTGCTTCTCCGAGTAGCTGAATTGCTGAGTTTAGCCACGCTTGTATTTGTCACCGTGTAAGACTACCTTGACGTATGCTCTTCAGACCCTGGTAGACTTAACAAAGTTGGCCAAACAGTGCGCTCTGCTCCATTTGTTGTCTGTTGCCTTTGGCTGTGGGTATCTGAATCCCGCGGAGGAGGTGCCGGCTGATGCTCACCGTCCGTCCACGAATGATTTTATTCCCATCCCTTCGTCACATTCCCTCTGTGCACAGCTTTCAGGGGATGCTCTTTCTCTCACAACAGGGATGAGCTGAAGCTTTCATGGATCAATACTGTTTTTCAGGGAGTTGTATCCCACGGGGCTCCTGCATGTGTGCCTGCCCAAAGGCAGGTCTTGCAGCTTTGGGGATGTAACTCTGCGAACTGAGGTGGATCCTAAATTGAAAAAAAATTAAACAACAAGAGGGGGAAGAGCACTAATTCCTTGCATTGGCATATTGTCAGTCTTGTGAAGTACAGGTTTGATTTCATGTCCTGCCATGCCGTGGAGAAAGAAGGCCTAATATTTAATGAGATGCCACAGCTCATTTCAGCAGCCTCCTTACCGTTTGACTCTTACCAGATTGCTCGCTCTTGAGTCTCCAGCCTTTTGGGGCAAAGATCAGGAATGTGGCTATATAGGTTTCCTTCTGCTCTTACGCTGGCCGGCTGCGTGTCAGTTTGCACACGCGTGAACGCAGCGCGGGAGGCTGTATGGGCTCCCCAAGGCTGCTGTGCTGCCTATAAGCCAGACCACCTCGGCTGCAGGCAGCAGCGACTCGGGTCCAGGGAGGCACAGTGAGCAAGCCGGTGAAGTTCCCGCATTCAACAGCTTATGAAATGCTCTTGTTTTCTTAAAACATCTTCTTCCCAAATTAAAGGAAGAGTGAAGGAGACTTGGGCTCTCCATCCTGGCAGATGCTCCATCCTGCTCCGCTCCCTGTGGCTCTGCAAATATCTGGGGTGCTGGAAACGAGATGGAAAAGAAGCTGCAGGTCGTAGTGCCGATGCTTTTGTGGGGGGAAGGTGCCCCTTCCAAGTGCTGGGTTTGTCTGTGCTGTTCAGCGTGGCCCTTTCCACTGCCAAAATCCATCACCCGCCTGGCTCTTCCCTGCACCTATATGGGCTCTGCTCTTCCCAGTTTATTTTGCAGGGAGGGGGGAGCAGCCCTTAACGCTTGGGGTTTTGTGGCAGCTGTTCCTGCTGTGGCCAGACCCCCCCAACGCTGATTTTTTTGGATCTCTGTGGCATCTCTCTTATGGCAGATGAGAGGCCTGTGCCAGCTCCTTGGGAAAGGACGACTTGATAACTGTTTCTCCAGGGGTATTACTGCAGGAGGAAGATTCAGTGACAGTTTGACAGCTTAATATTTTATTTATGGTGTTTATGTTTTAAAAATGTGGGAATGAATGCTGCTTGCCTGAATGGCAGAAAACGATTTTTTTATTTAATTTGTCCCAGTGGCCCATATAGTGCATTAAGAAATAAAATAAAATAAATGGTTCACAATAATAATAAAATCCAGTTGGCAGCACTGGCCTTAATTGTTAATCAAAGTGACGAGGTAGCTGCAGCGAGGTAGCTGGGGCTTGGGGAGCGTGGCGGTCTGGGCAGCCTGGGATGGTGTGTAGAGGTGTGGGGGGTGAAAGTGCAGTGCTCCTGAAGATGATTTTTTTTTTTACCAGAGCCTTTCCATTAAAGAAGTGGGTGAAGCAGCTGCAAGTTGTAGCGAGCTGAAGCATTCTTTCAGCATGCAGCTGCTTCCCC